ATGAAGTTGGGGAAGGAATTGAATGACTCCTCAGTGTTAAAAGGCAGAGCAGAACAGATTGTCAAATTATGCTCACTGTTTTTAATCGCCAATGCTATATACCTGTGTTCTGCATGTGTTTCTTGTATGATAAATATCATGGGAATATGATTGACACAGCCTACATAGCATATCACCTGAGAGATGGACTTTTAATCTTAATATAAAATATGGGGGACACCGCACATGTCAAATGATAATTATGAAAGTTGAGTATAGGGTGCATGGGGAGTTTTATTGTTTATTCCATCCCTATGTTTAAACATTTTTGTAATAATCTTTTTAAAAGAGAAAATGTTGACTTCCTCATAAGGAGAGGGAAAGACCAAAAAGAATGGTTGACAAGGTTGGGACAATCTGTCAAAACTAGATTTGAGCTCTCAGTAAAGACATTCTGGGAGTGTAATTCCTTTGAGGTTGGGACCTTGGAAGGAAAACATTCTATATAACAGGAAAAAAGGAGGAAAAGAGGAATTGATAGTGAAGTGTTTTTCATGCCAAGATCCCCTATGAATGGCTTCAGTTCCTTTGTGATTTATGAGTCCAATACATCTGCTAAGTGGAGATGGCCTCATTTTGAAGAAAGTGCAGAAGGTTTGAAAAAAATGTGAGTAGTATAGAAGAGTGGATAAGGAATCAGTGACCTAAGCTCCATAAGGCTTGTTAACTGAAACTAAGCATAGAATAATAACTTGGGGGAATGAATGAGTGAATTATCTCTATTTAGTGCTAGTGTGTATCATGAATTTAGGGTGGTTCTAGTAGATTTATAAGATTTAAATCCAACAGCAATCAGTCACTTATAGGAAGACATTCCTGGAAAAGGTAGAGAGAAAGGGTTTGGCCAGAGAGTAAGGATTAAATGCGGTTGAATTAGGCCCATTTGGAGCAGTGCTAAATGTAGGTTGCCTGAGAGATCTTGAGGCCTACCTTGAAGAGGGAAGAAATAAATTAGTAGATAAATGAGTAAGTGCAAAAAATAAAGACTGGGAGTTGGAAAGCTGACAAATTGAGGGCCTATAATGGAAGGATAGGGGGTGAGGTCAGAGGGAAGAAAGTCAGGCTATATTACTCCAGTGGCAGAGGTGTTCCTGGACATGGCTGTAAGTGAACTGGAATAGAAGGACCCTAATATGGGTTAAAAGGAACTAAGAGGTAAATTATTGGCAGGTCTCTCCAGGTGGATGTTGGTGACTGATTCCTTACCCCTGCAAGTCCCTTGCCCATGGAACCCTGCCACTTTTTGTTCTTCCCAGAGCCTCTGCAGAGTCTACTGTCTGAAACACTAAGCTTTAGATACTGCAAATCAATGGCATAACTCTGGAGTAAAAGAAGTATGGTAGAATGCAGGGGCTTTGGTACATATATCTTTTTCATTTCTATTTTTACATCCAGTATTCATAAATGTCTCTGGGAAAAAAAAAACAATTCAAGAGTACTCTGAGACAATGAAAACCATTATTTTGTATAATTAAAATGCACTAATTTAAAAAAAAGCCTCTGGGAAACTCAACCCATTTTTGAGTCCCAATCTGTGCAAGTGCAGTTGCCTTCCCAACAGACCCCTATTTTAACAATAAATGTGTGCTGAATCTTGGTTAAAAGGAGCATTTTGTGCAGGTCTGTGATAAACCCTCAAATATCTGTGACTCTGGTGCATGGTCCAGGACTCAACTCTGGACTGTGAGCTGCAGGTGATGGAGGGAGATCGACCATGTCTCTAAGAAGCCCATGAAAGTCAAAAATGACGTCTGCATCCTGGAAAGTGAACTGTACACACTAAGGGCAAGATCTTGCATGTTGACACTAAGGTTACCCCCTTAGCCCCACCCGAAAAGAGGTATGCCATGTTTGACAACAGCCACACAACCTCATGTACACTTCTGCCAGTATGACATCAGTAACCACTGTAGCACCTGATGAGCCTCAGGGAAGTGCTGGCAGGATCACACTGGGAAAGAGTAGTTGTTCACAATGTGGAGGTGATGAAGCATAATCCTTTCTTCCACCAGAAAGGTCATTTTTCCCCTCATTTTTTTGTTTTGTTTTGGTGTTACTTTCTCTCTTTTTAAAAATTTTTTAGTTGATGGTGCTGAGAATTAAATCCAGTGCTTCACACATGTGAGGCAAGCACTCTGCCACTGAACCACAACCCCAGCCTCCTCTTTCTTTAAAGCATCTTTATTCTCAGCTTTATCTTACCTGAGAGTAAGGTAACTGCCTGGTTAAAATTCCTATCAACAACAGCTGGCTAACCTTTTGCTTTGCAAAAATACCAAGTCCAGGCAGCAAGGAAAAGTAACCAGCAAGGGGAAACTCTTAAGTGATTTTCCAGTAAGGAACCATTTAAGGAACCACAATGGCAAGTTCAAAGTATGGTTATTTATAAGATATGCCTTATAAAAACTTCTTAAGCAGCACCTACCCTGCTCCTAAACCCTACCCTAATCACCCAGAATCCACTGCAGCAGTACCCCCTAAACATTCTCAAGCAAGTTTCACCCTTCTGTATGAACTCCTGATAACTGACATGTTTGTAAAAAATGACTAAGCCACTCTATTAACCATTCTCAAAATTGTTCCTGTCCTTCTCTCTCTCCCTGTCCTCATTGTAATTGGACACAACACCTTTATTTTTATGTGGTGCTGAGGATCAAACCCAGTGCCTAGAGGTGAGCGCTTTACCGCTGTGCCAAAACACCTAGCCCCTTGACTCTCTCTTTTGATATAGAAGACCTATCTTCCTCACTGCAGGGGAAAGGTGTGGGATGCCATATATAATGCCATTAAAGTTAAGCTAAGGGGTAGGAAGCAGTGCCACCTCCTCAGGTTTCAGCAGGAAGAGGAAAGGTGTTTTTTGAAAACATGATATCCCTTCCTTAATGAGAGGTCCAGGAGATTTGGTCACCTTTTTAGAAGTCCAGAGAGGCAATCAATAAAAGCTGAACTACTTTCTCCCCTTCCCTAAACACAAGGAGTAGGTTGCCAAAAACTCAAACCCCCAACACAAGAAAATACACCATATTGTTAGAAAATTTATTGGGGAAAATCAGTATTCTCAAAAAGGGATAAATTATTTGGGGGGAAGAAAATTTTCTTTCTGAAAATTCTGGAGAAGCATTTTCTGTTTGAACAATAGGGACAACTCTCCCAACACAGTGCCTTTAGCAAAAGGAGCAGCAGCTGGAGCCACCTGACCAACTCTATATTTGCATGTAGTATTCAGATGGGGCAAGGGTTCCTTGTGCGGCATGGATGGGTGATGCTTCTGACATATTATCTTGTCCTGTACGGTACACTTTTCTGGGGCTGTCTGCCCCTGTCCATGACCCATTTATTAGTCCCTATACGAATCCACTGACCAGCAAAGCCAATTTCTTGGCTGCAAGATTTGGCACTTGGCACCTTAGCACAGGGAGTATTGACATTGAAGTCATGTTTCTGGATGGGTTCTGCCCGAACCGGCAATCCAGTCTTGTGCTGAATTTTCCCAGGCCTCATGGGGGTGGAAAGAGGCTTTTGCGGGGCGGTGGCCTCTACTCCATGCTGACCTGCTAGTTTCTCCTCTAGGATCTTCCCACTGTCTGTCATGATTTTCTGAGCTTCAGTATTCCCAGTAAAGGCAGCTCTCTTCTTAGCTGGGTTTCCTCCTTGCACAGATGATGAAGAGCTGCCCTTTTTCAGAGAACCTTCTTGCCCTTTGCCTTTTACACCAAGATAAAGCCTTTGAAAAAAGCGTTTGAACTGGCTTTTAGAAGGCTGTCCCTTCAGTGATGGGGCTGAGGAGGACTTGCTCCCAAGTGCCTCCTTTAGTGGTCTGTCTTGAGGGTGGGGGAGCTTCCCTCTAGGTTGGCATGTCACCAACCCTGCATCCCCTCCACCAAACTTGCCTGTTTGGGGTACCAGAGGGCACACCCTTTTTGATGCTAATGGTACATTGTTATCCTGACACTTGCATAAGACATGTGTAGGGATCCAGGGTTCTTGCCCCTGCTCTATGTTGATCCCTCTGTTGTCAGAGTGGGCTTGTAGCACCTGGGGAGCTGCCATGTCCCCACTAGAGGCACTATGAAAATGAGTGAAGGAAGTCAAGGTCTTGGAAGTCAAGGTCTTGCAAGTCAAGGTTTTGGAAACTAAGGTCTTGGAAGCCAGGGTCTTGGAAGTCAACTTATCTAAGGCCAGAGTCAACTCAGTAGAAAAGGCTGGAACCAGGCCCCGCTTCCTGCTCTCAATTTTCATCTTCAACTCATTAAGCAACTGATTTTTAAGATCTAATGATTCGGAATCTTTGAGAACTGATATTCCTTCTGGGGGCCTTTCAATTGTTAGGGTTGATTCAACTTTACTCATATTCATATCTGTCACTGAGGAGCTTTCTGACTCTGTGGTCGTCAGGCTGTTCGTAGACTGTGATCGAATAGCACAGAGCTCCTTTGCCTTGAATATCTCCCTGGACTTGTTAGACATGGGAAAATATTCTAAATTCTTAATCATGTTTCTCTGAATCTTTTCTATACTATTGCTGGGACTCACTCCCTTATTCCATGATTTGGGTCTGGCCCCAGCCTGCTTTGTGGGCAACTTTGGGCTGCATTTATTGGCTATTACAGTTTGTTTCTGACTGTCTTTATTTTTGTCACTGTGTGGGAAGGGCAACGAAGCCCATCTGTCACCCTCAATTGCCTTGACATTCTCTGTAAGCTCAGGGTTGGTGTGAGAGGGTGAATGTGTTAGGGCCCTCTTATTTTCCTTGCTCACAGGTGAAGTGGCAGAAAGAGGATGATCTAGAGTAGGGCCTGAAATTATTGTTCCCACCTTGTTTACTTGAAAAGTACTAATGCTTTCTTTAAGGGGCTTGGAGACCCCAATTTTGGAATCCTTGCCAGAAGTAAGACTGGATGAGGAGGAAATGTTGGAGCGAACTGAGGACCAGGATGGGGTTCCTTTCATTTTGAAGATGTCTATGGATTCCTGGACCTTTTGGGAAGCCCGCACATCATCCTCTTATGAAACAGTTTAATATGGTCTTCCAAGATCTTTTGTTTGTTGGAACCAAGCAAGGAAATATCCTGGGAGGTATTGAGGCCCTTGTCCTTACACACCAGTGGTACCAAATCTCTGTGTTTCGTTTGGCTAAGGGATTTCTCAGGACTAATCAATACTGGCTCCATAGAATGCAATGATCTATTCATGGTGCCAGGCATCTGACACACATTGATTTCCTCAAATTTCTTGCTCAAATGTATTTCTAGGGCTTCTGTCAGTTGTTTCTGAACTGAGCTCTCCTCTGAGATCTTTGATTTTTTTCCAAAAAGACTATTCAATTCGTTTTTTAGGTTTGTCTTAAAGTCAGAGTCCAGATCATTATCTGGAGCCCCCTCTGAGTCACTCAATGGATCATCTTTTGTGCCAATCTCTAGACTATTTACTTTCTTCATTCTCTCCCCTAGTGGAAGTAATTCTGAGTTCTTCTCATGGAAACTTCTGGGATGGCTCAATTGTAAATCTTTGCTACTTTGACCCTTAAACAAAGAGATCCATGAAAGTCCATAAGTGGACTTTGACTCAGATATCTCGGAAATTTCTGTTTCAGGACTCATCCTTGACAGAGACTCATGGACTCTGCGGGGCAGACCCCACCGGTGTTGAATAAGCCTTTTCTGAAGGTGGTGCTCTAGCTTCTCCCGAAGCTCTTTTTTGAGGGGAAAATCTCCCCGAATGATGGTTGTTGGAGCATAAGCCTTGGAGGACCGTCTATCAGATAAAACACTGGGAGCTGCAGGACAAAACTCTTCCTTGGATTTTTGAACCACAGAGGGTAAACCCCACAAATTTTCCTGTCCTTTCTGTAATACATTATATTCCAAGTCATGAATTTTGGATGGCATGAGAGAGTGTACCTCATCCTGGAATCTATGAATCCTCACTCCACCATCACTAACCTGAGATGAAATGGGTGGTGACAAGGTAGGGACTGAAAATTGAAGCTGGTCCTGGGGTGGGACAGGAGATTGGCACTGAAGCTGGTCCTGGGGTGGGACAGGAGATTGGCACAGTGCTTGGGTCAAGGGTTGAGATTGGATCTCAGGCAAGGACAGAGTTGGGGGAGGGGGTAGAACTAGAGATTCAGGGGCTTCAAAGGAACTAGGCATTGAATTGAAGCAGACATAGGTTGAACAGTCACCTGATTCAGGTACTATAGATTTCAAGGACTCACTATGCAAAGATGGGAGACCCCAGAAGAATTGGGTACATTTTTTAGGTAAGTTATCCTCAAAGGTCTTAGGATCTGAGGACTGGTGGTCTACCTGCAATCCCTCTGATTTGCCTTCACTGCTCTGTGAAGGAAGGGAGACAGGTGAGTCCTGTTGCTCAGCAACTGACTCTAACCTTTTCCCTGAAGAATTCAATTGGTCGTCTGGCTTAAGTTCTTTTGGAAAAGATTTTTTTTCCTTTTTCTTTTTGTTCTGCATCAGGAAATCACCCTTCTTTTTTATATGTCTCTCCAGAAGGGCCAAGACATCAGGGCATAGAAATGAGAGGTTTCCGGGCTCTACAAGGATGGCTGTAGTATCACTCTCAAAAGAGGCCTCAGGAGGATGGAGGTCGAGGAGGTTTTTGTCATCATCAGAGTGCTCCAATTTAGATGGAGACAAGTTTTCAGCATGAGACTGGTTTCCAGAGAACTCTGACACTAGAAGGCTTGCATTGTCAGTGCATGTGGTTGTTGGGACATTAGTAGACAACCCATCAGGGCTATCCACCAGAGACAAAGGGGCTTCTGGTTGGAGAACAGGTTTTGCTTCTTGACTGTCAGTTGGTGGGGGAAGGGTTGGAACAGGTGGGGGAGGAGTTGGAACAGATGGTTGAGGTGGGATATGATCCACTGGCAATTTTGAACTCAAGGGAGAAGGCTCTGGTGGCAGAGAGTCACCCAGTAATGAGGGTCCAGGTAGGTCCATTAAAGGGGTAATTTGGTCAGGTGAACTAATAAAGGAAGGAAATAGAGTTGGCTCAGTTAAAGGAGTTGAAACTGAAGCTCCCGGAGGGATTGCAGAGACAACATCGGACAGAAAAACTGATGACTCTCTCACAGACGTCATGGAAGACACATGGGACACAGAATTAAGAGCATCTTCCAAGAACGCCTTATAGATCAGTTGACTGACCTTAGCTGTTGTTCTATTACACACCCCACAGAGCGGGCATTTACATAACAGTTGCAGAAAGTGGAGGAAATCATTATTCTGGCTCATGGGACTGTAAGAGAAAGAAAGCCAAAGCTGTAACCAGAACCACTACAAGGGAAACAAGATCTGCAGTTCTATGGGTGGTGGGGAGCCCGCTACCTGCTCTACATTCCACACATCTATGACCTCACAATACCCTCCCCTCCCAAGTTCTTTATTCACGTACCCATGGCTATGGCTATCCCTCCTGTGATTAGGGCATGTTGCGAAGAATTCCTGGGGGACTGAATAAAGCATGCTAGGAAAGGAATCAGTAAAGGGAAATGACTAATCACCTTTTCAGAATAGAAAGCAGCTTTCTCCCCTCCTCTACTTCTCTCCGGCAAGTTCTCCGACCTGGAAAACCAGGACAGTTGGTTATATATAGTAAAGGTAAAAACACAGGTTATCATTCAGGAGTTTTTACAGGAAACAGGATATTAAAGTCAGAAAGCCCTAAAAATCTGCAGATAAGGTCATAAGTGTCAGGGATAATAGTAAGAAGGTTCACAGGTATATGTGGTTCCATTTAGAAAGTACTTTCACCTGTACCATCCTACATACTGCTCAAAACCACCACCTGAAGCACAAGGATCAGTAGATCCTTGTAGTTTACACCATGTCACCAGACAGAAATTCTGACTCCAAGACAATCAGGGGTCTTTGGACATCTCACAGGGCCACCTACTTGGCAGTAAATGTCCAAGGCCCAGGTCCATCACTACTTCATTCACACCCAAGGAAGGGTGGGCAGGGCAGGGACTCTGAGGAATCTCTCAGGTCTCACTGCCTTCTCCTGAGCCTCTCCTCTGAGACCCTGCTTCCTGAGAGAGACTGCACCTAGAAACTGACATCCTCCAAGATCATGGAGCTGTAGGGAGATAGGAAAGTTCACCCTTATAGAGCTCAGGTTGAACAGGCAGAACCTTACCTTTAGATACTCCATTTCTCCTTCTCTTTGTTCCCTGACGCTGAAAACAAAAAGAAAAGAATGAGGGGCTGGGGCTCATTTCTTTTACTCCTTTTGTTAACAAGTTTAGACATTCATTAGGCAAGAATTGGACAACTCTTCATTTTTAATTAGTAGAAATTGTATTCCTTCCTTTTATTAATCTTGAAGGGCAATGAAATATTTTCAATTTTTTACTTCTTTGATAATTTCAAAGGACATTTTTTGTCTGTGAGATTCCTCATTTGATGGTCTTAAACCCTGTGCGGAAGGAGGGCATAGAATCTGAGGCCAACAGTCACGTCTGGGCTCCCCCGGGGAACCCTGTGTCCTGGGGCAGAGCTCAGGCTACAGGCTCTACTCCGAGGTCAGCACTGCTGTCCTGATCAGCCCAATATGAAGGCTGGGTGAAGCACATCTGACATGGGAATGAGACTCAGAATCTAGTCAGAAGAGACCCGTCTCCTTCAGAGAAGCCACACTCTCTATCCAAACCAATCTGGAACCCTCCATCACACCCCAAAAGATAGTCTGTGAGCTTCAGATGGAAACCTTAGTCCTTCCTGAACCTCTGACTTCTTTCCCTAAAGAGTGAAGTTCTATCTTGTCCTCAGACTTCCCAAGTCACATCTCCTTTGAGCCAACCAAACATTTAGTAATGTGAGAATGGAAATAACAAATCACATTTGACATTTCACAAAACATTTCACATTTGACAAAATCAAGAAACTCCCTTGGGAGTTCACTCTGCTTCCTTACCTTCTTCTGGATGGCTTTATTTTTCTCGAGTGTTGGTGAAAATCGTTTCAATACCTGAAAGGACAGGTATAGAAAAAGCAACACCAACCCACTCAAAATGGTACTTTTGGGATCAATATCCCAAAGAATTGAACCAAGATCAACCATGGTTCAGTAGGCTATTCAGCAAAGAGAGAACACTCTTCATCATCTGAATTGCTCGGTTGCCTAAGGCAAATGAGTTCTGAGGGTGCCTGGGCTTCTCTATATCTCCAGGCTTGCATCACACACCATTGAAGAGTCACAAAGGGAAAGGATTCTGAGGGTGGGGAGAAAAGACTTGAGGAGGTTGTGCCCCTCCTCCACCTGCCCACCAGCCAGCAGATCCCTCTGCTCAGGTCTGTTGTTCCATTTCCCACTCTTTCCTCATATCATGCCTTCATTATCTCAGGGAGCATTCCTGTTTGTTTCATGTGTAACCAAGATGTTTTACATGAGTCCCTTTTTACTGTTTGGATCCCTTGACTTACACCCCACCAATTCCACTGCCTTGAAAATCTGACATACACTGCCTGGAATTTTTGCTTGTACCAAGACATTTACACTCTTGGGTCACCTACATCCTTAAATCTATCTTATCTACAGAAAGCTTTTGCTTTACTCTAACTCACATGTAAAACTTAATGTTCTTTCATACTTATGTAGTTTTATAAGTTTCAATAGCAAATTTTTGTTTCAATCAGCCTGTAGTGTCTTCAATCACAGTGGCTAACTCTCATTAAAACTAATAATTTGTTAGTCAACACTGTGAAACAAAAATAAACATTAAAAAAAAATGTAAATAAAATTGAAACTTCAAGTGATCTTGGAGATAAGTTTATAACGCTTGTTTTTTTCTGAAGTAGTGAAGATTAAACATAACAAAGACTATTGGATGTGCTCTATTTCCCACCCCCTGACAAATTGATGCAGTGTTTTCAAATCTGATAATCAACCATCTTCTCATTTTTTTTTTCAATTCTTCATTCATTATTTTGATCTAACTTGCTTTTAGCTACCTAAAATTCAAATATTCCCTGCCTCCATATCAATTTCATAATGCTTATATGACTTTCTCAAACCAGGAAGAGGTTATGGTGTGCTAAGGAATTGAACCCTCAGTCCTTGGTGGCAGGGAGCCACCTAAAATGTCAGAACCTTAGGGCAGATTCTAGTCTTGAAGAGCATTACCCTTGTGGGACACATAATTTTGATATTTTCCTAAGAAAATAAGAGTGTCTTGCCATGAAAAAAGCTATTAAGATCTGTGCTATATAAGCACCCTACTACTAATGGAAAATCAACTGCCTATCATACATGATTCAAGCAAAACTTTTGATATTTAAATAGCCCCAATATTGCCCCAGCCTTCTTCTTGCACCTGCTTTTTAAAACCCTTTATCATCATGACAGCTATCCTCCTAACTGTCCCCTAACTTGTCATGTCTTTTTTAAACCCTGAAACCTCTTATCTGATGCCCATAACCCAGCAGCATTATTGATCTCTTTGACAGGATAAGGCAGCCTCCAAGCCAAGCAGTCTCTATTCAGTTAGGCAGGAGCAGGTACCCTGCCTTGAAAATCCCCCATCCTTTTGATATGCAGCCTCAGTCAGGTTTCCATTTAACAAATATTTACTAGTGAAGACTAGGAGACATGGACAGCTATAAGTCACAGGCTCTGCCCTTATCCTTAAGGAGCTCATGTTGAGACTGTAGAGATAAGTCCTACACAGTTGGAAAGCTGTACAAAGGCAGAAGAAAGGTCCAGAACCCCTTAGCATTTGTTAATTCCCAAGAGATTTGTGGAGTAGATCAGAGACTGTGGGTGTTAACAGCTAGAACACATCATGCTCTGTACCAAGGCTTCCCTGCCTGTCTCCCCAGTTTTCTGAAACAAAATCACAATCCTTTGGGAAGATAAAGAAAATCT